AAACTCATCAAATAATCAGGGAATATTAACCATAAGGAGAAGAGAAAAGACTAAAAGTCATTATCATGCCCAGACAGACTTTCCTCTATTCTTCTCAGGGCAATTGAGATTACCTGGCACACTTTATCTGCATAATAAGATCACCTTTGTTCAGTGAAGTTCTGCCCTTCACCTTCCTTCAACTTGTTGCCACCTCCCCTAGAGCTCAGAGGAACTTTGTTCCAGACCACTGTCTATTCTTTGAGCTCATTCTTGCCTTCTGAAAATCATTTGCTACCCCTCAAAATTGCTTATGTCCTCTATTGCTTATGTCCTCTATTCTCTCCTATGAAGAGAATACTTAAGCCTCAACTGTCTGGCCTTTCTTTGAGTCTTAGGTTTGTCTGAATCCTGTGCACAGTACCATGTTAATACATTTGTATGTGTTTTCTCCTGTTAATCTATTGTCGGTAATTTCAGCAGACTTAGACCTTCAGATACGAAAAATTTCCTTCGCCCCCAACAGTAAACTGGTTAATTCTGTTCTATGCTAATGTTCTTCTGAAAATGTCTTGCTAAAAATATAAAAAGTCACCAACATCCACTATAATACTGCTTTCTGAACTGTTTCCTTAGCTCTACAAGTTATGTAAATACTAATCTGCCTTCTGAGGTACTGTAAGCAAGCGTTTAGCCACTGCCTAATGTGAACCTTCAGCTGTCCACCCTGCTACATCTATTTCCTCAATTCCCACCTGATTGCTGTGCTAAACTAATGACACATATTTTAGTTTTTTTGTTACTGTAGGCCATCACTTCTGTTATTAATCAGGGTTAGTGATTTTAGCTATTGCAACAAACAACCCCAAAACTTAGTGTTATAAGCAAATAAAAGTTTATTTTTTGCTCCAATCAGTCCAGTGAGGATCAGTGTGGTGATGCAATCATTAAGAAACCCAGAGTCCTTCTATTTAACGTTGCTGCCATCCCCCAGCTTCTCAGAGTTTTCTGTATCTGGCTGATTGATGTGTGAAAAAAAAATAGGAACTATAAATTACGAGAGGTTTTAAGGCCAGGCTTATATTGGAGGGTCGCTGCTTCTGTTTACATTCCACTGTCCAGAATTAGTCACACAGCCCAATATAAAGGTAAGGAAGCTGGGAAACATAGGTTTCCTGAGTGCAAAGAGGAAAATAAGGTGGTGAATATGTATCATTATCTCTGTCACACTTATGATTTCAGTTGCAGGTAACAGAAAACTTAGCTCAAATTGGCTTTGTGGGGGAGGAAAAACTTTTCCTCTACTTTTTGAGGTTCTATAATTGGGGGCCTGTGAATTAAACAGACCAAGGGCAGATTACCAAGGGAAGATGGATTTTAATCACATATGTATGTAAGGGAGATCACAAAGAAATGTGACATAGAAGGTGGTTAGAATTTGGGGGCTTACAGACTGGTATATTTCCCTGAAGGGGAGGGGGAGAAGAGCACTTATGGGGAAAAAAATGACTTATTAGAATGGGAAGGAGCAGAAAGGGCATTTATGGAAGTGACTTTTGGGAAAGATAAATGGGCCCTTTGGAGAATAGATGGGAGATATCATAGTTTTGTGACAATGTCTATTTAGATGTGGTGACAATTCTTGCAGTCTCTGATGGTGAGTCAATCTTCCTTGGTTGCTCCCTGGAGGGAATTTATAACAATTGAGTTCTTTTGGGTTCTTTTGAAATGCTCTGCTTTTAGGCAGATAAGGGATTTCAGGAACTTAAATATATTCAGCTCAAAATAATTTTTATGCCACAATGGCTTATTCTGGATCCCTTCAGCTTAAACAACAAAGGGAATTTATTGGGTCATAAAACAGAGAAGTCTAGAGGTAGTATGGGTTCCAGTGATGTTTTATTTGAAGGTTTATGATTCTCTCAGGGATTGGCTTCCTTTCCCTATGATTGATTCTCCCAGCCGTTCCTCCTCCACGTGTTGGCTTTATTTTCAGTTGGCTCCGCTTAGTAGCAAAGAAAAAAAAAAAAATAAAAAAGAGAAGCTCTTGTAGCTCTTCCAGTGTTTACATTAGGATGCTATACCATTCAGAGGAAAAAAAAAAGAACTTCTCTATTCTCTTCAATAAAACAAAAATCCTAGGCTTCCCTCTGATTGGCCTCTGAAACAAAAACTAGTTCAAAGAATGAGGGTAACTCTAATAATTTTTGGCTTTTTGGACCATTCTTGTACCTGTTGTGGGGTGTATTAAGTCTGTCCAAATTGCATGGATGAACACAAAGTAGTTGTGGAATGGAAGCTGCCATATCCATTGCCATAATTCAGGTAAGGATGTAGATCATAGTCTCACTTAAGGAGAATGAGTACTGTGAGGATATGTATAGCAAGTGTGTAACATGTAAAACAGGCTGAGAATATAAACAGGAAGAGAGGCCCGTAAAAAATGATAGGAAGGTTTGGAGACTAAGTCAGGAGAACCAAAAGAAAAGTGTTCTAGAGGCCAAGGGAGTATGATGTCAGAAGTTTGAAGTATGATGTCAGAATCATGCAGGTAACTTCCTGTGTGCTGATTCTATTCTCAGGAGTCATCTTTTGTAATTTGGCTTCTCATGTGAATGTTCCTTTGAATGAAAATATGTTGACCAGCTTTCTGGTCTCCATGGCAGTTATGTTTTTCATCAACAAAAACAACAAAAAGAATTCCAATTTTGGTTTACACATCAGTCTCAGTAAGTTTGGTTGGTCTGAATCATTCCCCAGGATTTAAATTAGTTCTGGAGACTGGCAACATTGAGCTTTTGTCTCTACAAAGTGAGGACTAGACTCTAGAATACAGGGTGCAATCTTCTCTTTCAACCTGTTATAAATAAAAATTATAGGATGCTATTATTATTATTTTTTTTAATTTTAAATTTTTACTTTTTATTTCCTTAGGTTTTTGGGGAACAGGTGGTGTTTGGTTACATGAATAAATTCTTTAGTGGCGATTTCTGAGATTTTGGTGCATCCATCACCCAAGCAGCATACGCTGTACCCAATGTATAGTCTTTTGTTCCTCATCCCCCTCCCACATTCTCCCCCGAGTCCCCAAAGTCCATTGTATCATTATCATGCCTTTGCATCCTTACAGCTTAGCTCCCACTTATAAAAACATACAACGTTTGGTTTTCCATTTATGAATTACTTCACTTAGAACAAGGGTCTCCATTTCCATCCAGGTTGCTGCGACTGCCAGTATTTCATTCCTTTTTACGAGGCTGCCATTATTTTGGACCAAACTCCTGCACTAAGCCCCAACAGACTAGACTAAAAATCAGCATGGAGTTACTCATGTCAAAAAACTGAAACTGGGTTGTTATGTGGCCTTCTGAGAAATCAGGAGAGAGATAACAGCCTAATTTCCCAAACAGGCCAGTTTAAATCTTTAATTCCCATGATAATTAAGTTCCCTGTTTTAACTCTTGTTTGTTTTTGAGACAAGGTCTTGATCTGTTGCTCAGGCTGGAATGCGGTGGCAGGATCATGGCTCATTGCAGCCTTGAACTCCTGAAGAAATCCTCCTGCCTCACCCTCCTCAGTAGTTGGGACTATAGGTATGCACCACCACACCTGGCTGCTGTTGTTTTTACAACAGAAACCTGATATTAACCAATGAGTTTTCTTTTTCTTGTTCTGTCTCATTGCCCAACCTTACAAGGAAAGTAACTCTGAAATGACCAACTTGTTTTTTGTTGTTCCTTCTTTCTTCAGCCCTTTTTTCTGTCTATAAAGTCAACCACACCTGCTCCATCATGGGAACACCTATTCTATTTTATGGAATGAAATGGCCTGAATCTAGAATTGCAATAAAGCCAACTGAGATCTTTAAATTTGCTGTGATTTCACCAGACACTGTAGCATGCTTTGGTAACCTTTAGGAACTATATTTGAAAAACAATGTCAATCATGTTCCAAGGTTTTGGAATTTTTAAACTTTCCATGTTTGCTGTTTTGACTATTTTCTGTCTTTTCCCGTAAAGTTTATTTCCAGGGCCAGTAGGAAAGGGAAAGCTGGGTAGATGATCCCAGGCCCAGTTGGGAGAAAGATAGGTCATGGTTACCTCCAAGTACACCAGATCGGTAGGACTGATCCAAGTGGCCTTTGGGGAAGATTAATTTGGTGTAGTAATCAATATGGAGACTACAGTAATAATAAACACTTGAGAAAAGCTGGGGCAATCTGGATGAGAGAGAAGAAACTTAATTCAAATAGGAAGGCAAATGAGCAAGATTCAGTGATTGAACAGTATGTCTGTTAAGGAATCCCACTATGCAAGATTTTAAGTCTTGGTCACTCGCAAGCTGGACCAATAATGCCATCGCTCTTGAGAGGACAATTTGTTGAGGAACCTTTCCTTATGGATCAGAATACAACCTTTGGCACGTGTTTACGCAAGCAGTATCTTGGCAAGTGTTTTTCTTGCAAATTTGTCATACTTCTTATTTGTCATAACTTTTAAAAATGCTATTACAGGTTAATATCCAGATGGCAGAGTTAGGAATTAAAGTGTGAAAGTTAATCATCTGAATCGGGTCTCTCTTGACACAGCCAACCAAAGGAGTGGTGAAGCCAGTGGTCGGGGAAGCCCTCAGGGCACATAACAGTGCTCCAGAAATGGAATTCTCTGCATACCTGGCTGCTGAAACTGCCTGCTGTAACCCGAAACAGGTTTTATCTTCATGTTTTAGCTGTTGAAAGAACCTGCTACAACAGTAAGACAAGTTTTACCAACCCCTATGACTTACTAATCAGAACTAACCAGCAGCCCAAAACTTTACCAAATGTCAGTGAACTTTCTGGAAGAACAATGGGTAACATTTCTTTTCTTTCTTTCCTTTTTTTTTGGTAAAACCCCCTAACTCCTTTTTGTTTGCCCGGCATACCGAAGACCACCCTGTATGTGTAAATAACCTGAACTTCAATTCTTGTGGCCCAAATAAAACGTTAAATGTAGAGATCTGTCTCTTCATATTTCACTTCGACAGGGGACGCAAGGAAAACCACATTTAAAACAGACTTGGTAAAATTTGCTAAAATTAGCCAATTATGAAAAGAAACAGACGATTGATTCCTTTTTGTCTTCTGGTTTAGTCTTCGCCCTGAAGGCCCCGCGCTTCTTTCGAACGGCGGCTCTATCCCGTGATCGTCTCACTTTCCAAGCCAAAGGATTGGGGGCCGATACACACGGGGAGGGCGCGAAACCCTCCTCGTCTGCAAATTCGGAGTTGCAGGGATTTGGGGGATACAGTCCGGCCCCGCCGGCCGGCGGCTCGCACTCTCATGGGGCCCGGGCTCTGGCCCTCGCCGCTGGCCGGCGCGTGGCGGGGCGCGTGGGTCTTCGAGGGTCCGCGACGCGGCGCACATGCTGATGCCCGCCTCCCGCGTCGGCGAGAAGACAGGGAGCTCGGACACGGGGAGGCTGACCCGGAGCCTACCCATGAGGCAGCGCGCCGGCTGCATGAGAGCCCCCCCTTTCCACGGCTCGGCTGCCAGCTCCGCAATGGGAGCCGCCGCCGTCGCCGCAGTGTAGTTTTTCGTGCTCCTCCTTTTCCTCCTCCTCTTTCTCCTCCTCCTCAGGGCTCCAGTCAGGCCGATCCGCTCCGCTCACGGTAAGCGCCCCCCGCCCCCGCCCGCCCCACGCTGCAGCAGGCAGAGGCCCTCCCGCGCGGCCTGCGCCGCCTCACTCCGGGGGCGCTGGACTGGGGGTCTTGAGGCCTGCGCGGGTCGTCGGAGGCGCCCAGGGCGTGGGGGAGGAGACCCGCTGCGCGGCGGCGGCCGGACCGCCATCTTGCGTCGGCCCTGGCGGGGGAGGGATTCTGGCGCGACGCGGCAGCCGCCTCGGCTGCGGCAGGCCTGGGCCGCGTAGGCCGCCGCCTTCTGATCCTCCGCCACCTCCCCTCCTAGGCCTGTGCGCCTGTTTGTCCCCAGCCTGGTTTTGGTTTTTCTCTCTTGAGGTAACTCCCTTTAGTACATTTTGTGCCGATGTTTGGCCGAGACCCATGCTCCTCACACGACAGCCCGCCCCCGTGTCTCTTCAGTCGTAGGAATGAAGACGAAAGGGGGTTCGGGACTTGCAGGCACAAGGCCCCTCTTTTTGCCCAGATGACTGCTCGTTCCACGTTTGCACCCTCATTTTTGTCAAAGGGACCTCCCCTACCCTGCCATAGAAGTCCCGTTATTGTGTACAGAAGAAGGGCCCTGAGGAGAAACGTGGAGTTGGAGACACAGTTTTCTGAGCTTTGCAGGGTTCACTTGAGACGGAAAGAATGATCTCACTCTGAGGTTTTAGCCTGCTCCAGCGATGGAAGGAGTTCCCCCAACTTACCTCAAGTTTTAACGCTTTTAAGGAGAAATCTGCTGGAGAGGAGAAATGTCAAAGTGAACCTGCTTCTGCAAGCACGGGAGACCTTTGGCCAGAGGTCTTTGTTTGCGAAGATTTGTTAGTTAAAAAAAAAAAAATCTGTCATCTTGAATATTTGGCTTTATTGTTTTCAGGTTTGGACAGAATTGGTCTTTCTCAGTGCTATGAAACATAAAATGGAACGCCAGGAGGAGAGTTTTTAAGCACAAAAGCTTCCTCTTAGCATCTGTAAGGTGTCCTGCTTTGGGGGACTACTGTGCCAACTCCAGCTGTTTCCACGCAGAAACATACCAGGGAAGGCACTGGTTTGCTTATGTTATTGTTAGGGCTGTGTGCTTCTGATGTTTTCTAACATCGCTGCAAATACCGTTGTAATTGTGTCTTGCTTTTGTGTCTTTCATTGGTAACCCCTGATTTGTATTTCTTACTTAGTCCCTTTTGAAGTGGTCTGGGTTGCTGGAATCATTTTGAAGGCGACAAAACAGAGCCTTAGGGAGAGGACTTTAATGAGGTCACTAGGAAGAGCCAGGACCAATTATGTTAATAGAACCTTAGGTCTTCTGACTCCTTCTCCAGTGCTCAACTGTAGTATATATCCTCTTTGTGGGAATGAGGTAGATGAGAATAGGCAAGGAGGCTCACCAAAAGATTTTAAGAAATATGATTCAATTGCCCTTTCTTTGACATTTTTATTTTTAAAATGCGGGTGTCATGTTGCCCAGGCTGGTCTCAAACTCCTGGGCTCAAGCTGATCTCTCACCTCAGCCTCCATAGCTGGGATTACAGGTGTGCACCACCTCGCCTGGCTTTTATGTTTTTATTTTCGAATTAATTTCTTAACTTTGCAACTTGTTAGTTATCATGTTATTTTTTTCAGAAATATTGAAAAGTTAAATAGCCCATTTGAGCACCATACCTACTACCTAGTTTTAACACTACCTTTTTGCCATATTTGCATTTTCTACCTATCTCAAACTCTGTTTTCTGAACATTTCAAAGTACGTCGTGGATATGACAGTTCAGCCTTAAATAAATGCTGTATGTGTATATGTATTTCATAAGAGATTAAGGCCATTTTTCTGTGAAACAATACCACAATCACACTTAAGAAAGTGAAGAATATTCCTTAAAATCTAACATATGGTATAGTATATATATACCTTTACCCCCATTTCTCCAGAATTCCTTTTCAGTCTTTTTTTTTTTTTTTGAGATAGGTACTTGCTCTGTGGCCCAGGATCGAGTACACTGGAGAGTCTTGGCTCGATGTATCCTTGACTTCCTGGGCTCAAGCCATCCTCCTTCTTTAGCTTCCCAAGTAACTGGAACCCCAGGAGCATGCCACCACACCTAGGTCATTTTTGTATTTTTTTGTAGAGATGGGGTTTTCCAGTGTTGCCCAGGCTGGTCTCAAGCTCCTGGGTTCAAGCGGTCCAACTGCCTTGGCTTCTTAAAGTGCTGGGATTACAGCTGTGAGCCACAGCACTGGGTTACATTGGCCTTTTGGAGAGGCCAGTTCTGCAGTTTTATAGAATAACCCATATCCCATGTTTTACATTTTACTGATAGTTCCTCATAGTGTTTAAATTTGTTCCCTCTATCCCTTGTGTTTTCTGTAAACTTGGAGTTGGGTCTAAAGGCTTGAATAGATTCAGGTTTAATATTTTTTTTGACAGGAATGCTTCATAAGTCATGCGGTATACTTCATTTCATACATCATCCAAAGGCATTTAAAGTAGCCTTGTCTTATTAGTAATGCTAAATTTGATCGCTTGGATAAGGTGGTGACAGGCTATCTTTCCATTGTAAGCATTTCCTTTTGCAATTAGCAAGTAATTTGTGGTGTGAAATTTTGGCATTAGTAGTTGTTATGAATTTACCTGCAGTAATCTGATAAACACAGTTGGTAGCAGTCCTTTAGGAATGGGTTTGGAAGTTAGGAAGAAGGGGGGGGCAATTTTGGAGGAAATACTAACCTATCTACTTTAGGGAACTTGGAATGCTACTGTGTTGGCCTCAGAGCCTAGGGAGACTAGGAGAGAGGAGGCAGAAAGTAGATGTTAGAGTCTTCGCTTTATTTGAATGCTTGCTTAGGACCACTGTAGCAGTAGTAAGCTATGGTAAATAGAAAAGTTCTGAGGTAGTTTGATGTTGGAGGATTGCAAGTGCTTCAACTGGAACATTTGTCCAGTTAGGCTACTAATCCAGTCCTTTTTCATTCCAGTGTTTTACTAATCAGCATTGGCTCACTGGAATAGCAATTTTCATAAACGAAAGTCAACTGTAGTTTTAGGTGACAGGAAATTGAAAATGTCAATTGACAACGTATTTTGTTATTCCAAAAGCAAGTTTTGGAAGGTAAGGAATACTTGGGACACATTCATTGATTAAATTTATAAATCCTGAATAGTTTTTTTTCTTGCTTTAGAGAGGAACTAAAAAAATGTTTGAATTTTCAGTCAGATTGCTTTAGATAGTAATTTTAGATAATGACTTGATTTACCTGGTGACTTGTATCAGAAATTATATGTTTAGAATTTTGGTTTATTTCTGCAAAGCAATTTTAAGGATTCTCTTAACCCTGTGCATACTAGGAAAAGTGTGCAGTTATCACTACGATCTGGGTGAAAAGGGTTATTTTATTTTTTGCATTTTAAGTTATGCATAATTTATAGGAGTAAAAATAAGCATAAGGTAAGACAACTTTATTGGAGCTTTTAATAAGAATTTAGGTATAGCAGACTTTTATGTGTATATGTAGAAAAATAAAAAACAATCTGTTTCATGGGTTTAATTACATAACACCCCTATAACAAATATGCGTCACATTTGCACACCTTAGGTAAACATTCTTGTTATAATACACATTTTTTTCTTTTTGAGTTTTTGTATCTGTACAAAGAACATCTTCCTAGTTTCAGATCTGTGCAAAATCATCATGGTTAGAGGGTAAAATTCTCTTCCTAGTTTCTGCAAATTATTTTCCTAGTTGCATGAGGAATTTCTTTTTGGTAACTTAAGTTTTATAATTGAAGTTTTTCCCAAAAAATGAAAAGTAACTCTGAACTAATATCAGTGATAAGCCATTTTCAAGTCATTCTCTTCCAAGTATCATTTCTGACCCACTTTTTGAATGTAACTATCCCTCCTGTAGTCTACTTGTAATACAGAATACTTCAGGTTAATTTGTGCAAGGATTTTAAAATTCACTGATGATTGAGAATACATTGAGCTGAGAAGTTAAGTAAGTATAGTTTTCCTTAGGACAATAAGAATCATGAGGTATATTTGAAATCCAGATTTTGTGCTATTGACTTCTTTTGCTTTTCCATTTGTGAAAATTCACTGAAGTTCAATGTTGTTCTTCCTAAGAGTGCCAATTAAGGAGAGTTTGATGCTGTATAATATTCAGCCAAGTCTAAATTTATAAAAAAATTGTCACAAGTTATATGACAGAATTTTGAAATTTTTCTGCCATTTCTTATATATCAATCTTGATTCTGCTCTCATCCCTTTTCCAAATCTCTGTGTAGATCTGCATTGTCCAAACTTATCATATTTCATTGTCACCTGTTGCTCAGATTTTTATTTCCTATATTTCATCTTTTGAAGGCGTTTCTACTTGAAATGGGCAACATTATCTGAATGGAATTAACTACAGATGCTCCTTGAATTACAATAGGGTTGCATCCTTGATAAACCCATCATTAGTTGAAAGTATCCTGAGTTGAAAATGTGTTTAATACACCTAACCTACTGAATATCATAGTTTGGCTTAGCCTACCTCAAATATGCACAGAACATTTACATTAGTCTACAGTTAGGCAACATCATCTGACTCAAAGCTAATTTTTTAATGATAAAGTGTTGAATATCTCATGTAATTTATTGAGTACTGTAGTAAAAGTGAAAAACAGAATGCTTGTATGGGTACTTGAAGTACTGAATGCACTTTTCACACCATTATAAAGTTGAAATGTTGTTGTAAGTTGAACCGTCTTAACATGGAGACTGTCTGTGCTTAGCAACTTTCATACATGACCCTGAAACTATTTGTCTTATAAATACATATTCTAAATTTCAATTGCTTCCCTAATAGATTCTAGCTTGTCATTCCTTCTGGTAATCTTTTATCTGGGTTATCTTTTTGTATGTACATCATCAAAGTGCAATACTGGAAGAATGTTTGAAAGCTTTGTGGTTTATTATTTTGTTGAAGACGGGGTGACCATCTTCTTTGCTCCACAA